TTTTTTTCTGCCACTTGACTAGTCACGTAGGGATCAAAATGAGCCCTAAGGGTTAAAAGCAAGGTGGCCGAGATCCAGGGGGGTTGCTGTGGCCCAACATGGAGTGAGGGGCAGCCCACGATGCTGTGAATGTAAGAAGCCTGGGACTCCTCCTTCCCACGAAGGCTAGCAACAGCTCTTCCAGGGCTATAATCATGTATTCCATTCAATGCAATCTCTGCAAGGGATTTCCCTGGGAAAGCAGCCGAAGACACAGGCATAAAACTTTAAGATGTGTGGGTAGTTATTATGAGGATGATGTGTCTTGAGGACTCAACGCCCAGGCAAATTTAAAAATAAGCAGGTTTCCAATGTCTAAGGATGGGCCAATCTTGGAGGTTATTGAGTAAAAAGTCAACACCGTAAAGTCAATTACATTATTGACAGATACTCTTACAAGGAGATTTCACATCATAATTATATGCAAAGGAACCCAGCAAATAGAAGCCGTGTAATGAGCAGCTAATAAAAGTAACACTTCATCTATGTCAATAACAGTTTCAGAGTTAAGACAAACAAACATGGCCTTTGCCACTCAGTGGAGGAAAAAAAAAATCCCTGAAAGACAAATATTTTCACTTAAGGAGAAGTCGCTTAGGCTCACAAGGAAAACCTGTCACACAAAGGAGAGTAGGAAACTGGTCTTTAGTGGGTGCTAATGACTCTCCTGCCTGCCCTGGGCCCCAGCTGAAAAGACTGGGGCAGCAATCCCTGTAAACATCTGAGCACACACAGAACACGTGGGCATTGCCACGCCATCTGGGAGATAACATTCTGTGTTGTTCTTGTCTCTACTGGACTGCTTTCCTTTCAGCCTTGGCTGAGTTTAGGTTCCACTGACATGTGGCCAAATTTAAAAAATGTTAAAAGTATGATGAATGTGAAAATTCAAAGCAAGATTTTTCCCCTCAAGCACTTACTTCTTAATGGGTTTTACAGACACTGATTAGGCAAATGCCTCCATAGCTATGTTCGTGTTCCTTCTTTCCAAAAGCAGTGTCTACTACTTGCCCTACAAAAAGTGGGCAAAGACATTACAAGCAAGTGCCCCTAATGTTCTAGAGCTTACTACCCCGCTTCCCCTAATTTCCCTTAAAACTGATGGGGGCAAGTTCAGAATTGGTATTTGGACAACCAACTGTTAACGCACAATGGGGTTCTTTACTGGTTATCTCTATTTTGGGGGGGGGGGATGGACTGAGTCACTCTCTGTCACCCAGGCTGGAGTGCAATGGCACAATTTCGGCTCACTGCAACCTCCACCTCCTGGGGGTTCAGGCGATTCTTCCATCTCATCCTCTTGAGTAGCTGGGACTACAGGCACATACCACCATGACCAGCTAATTTTTGTATTTTTAGTAGAGATGGTGTTTCAACATGTTGAACAGGCTGGTCTTGAACTCCTGACCTCAGGTGATCCGCCCTCCTTTACCTCCCAAAGTGTTGGGATTACAGGCGTGAGCCACCGTGCCCGGCCTCTTTACTGATTATGTCTATTTATGCAAATGTAACTGCTGCACATTTCACCAAAATGATTTCGCTAAAAACTCGTAATGATGCTCAGGAAAGTCACTCTCTAATTGGACTCTACACGCTTTTGTAGTGGACAGACATGAAGCGAGCTGTGCCATTATAAAGCTATTGCCACTCAGGCTCAAACCCACCCTTCAACTCAGCTTCCCACGCTGGGGCTGGGGCTGGGGCTGGGGCTGGGGCTGGACCTTACAGCTGGGCTCCAAGTGAGGCTCTGCCACCAGGGGGTGCCATAGAGAGACCAAGAGGGTGGTGGAGAAAGATGGAACTGGCTCCTGCCTGTTTCTTCTTCCTGCACCATCCCAGCAATGCCTCTGCACCTCAGCAGCAGCATTCATTCTTGTAGTTGCCAAACCCAGTTTGAGTTTTTCCAGCGCTTGCAGAACTATATTCCATTAGCGGCCACCAGCACCATCAGAGGCTGCTTCCTTCGAGGTCTGCCTCCGAGCCCCCGCCTCCGTGCAAAGGTGAGTTTCAGCTTCATGGGGCGATCATTCCAACCTCTTCCCTTTGTTTCCTCAGCCCTAGAGGTGGTTAGCTGCCTCCTGCAATTACTCTGTCTATGACACCCTGAGTTCTCTTTACCCTTTCAGTTACCTGGTTAGTAACTTCCTACTTGGTTCATAGATTTGTTTTCTTTTTAATCATTTTCATTTTTACATGATCTCACTCTGTTGCCCAGGCTGGAGTGCAGTGGAGCAATCTCGGCTCACTGCAGTCTTGACCTCCCAGGCTCAAGGGATCCTCCCACCTCAGCCTCCCGAGTAGCTAGGACCACAGGTGTGTGCCACCACAACCAGGTAATTTTTTTTTTTTTTAAATAGAGATAGGGCTTCACCATGTTGCCCAGGCTGGTCTCAAGCTCCTGACCTCAGGTGATCCACCCGCCTCGGCCTCCCAAATGTTGGGATTACAGGCGTGAGCCACTGTGCCCGGCCTCAGCTAATTTTTAAAACTTTGTAGAGCTGGGGTCTCCCTATGTTGCTCAGGCTGGTCTTGAACTCCTGGCCTCAAGTGATCCTCCCCCCTCAGCCCCCCAAAGTGCTGAGATTACAGGCATGAGCTACCACACCCAGCACTGGTTAACAGAAAGGCATTAAAATCTCTCTGTTCAAATACCTGGTGTGGTTTCTGTCTCCCTACTGGACCTATCTGATACACAAGTTGGCTCAGAGGCTGTTTTGTTTTCTTTTACTTTGGAAGGAGCCCAGCCGAGGCCCTCACTGGACTAGCTGAGTAGCAACTTTCAACAGAAACAAGACTGTGAGGCTCTGCCACCAGGGGGTGCCATAGAGAGACTGAGAGGGTGGCGGGGAAAGGGCACTGGCTCCTGCTGCAACACCTTGTTTTCTAACCAGAAAGAAACCATCAGTAGTTGAGAAACACCTCAAGGGGGTACTAACCAGTCAACTTTGTCATAACAAATGCCATGAGTAAGAATGAAAACGAGGGCAGCTCCTGTGGAAGGTCAGCCTTCTGCCTGGCTTTTCCATGCCCTTCTACAAGGCGTGGCTGGTCCCATAATGAAAACTACTCTTGAAGGCACTAAAAAAAAGGGGGGGTCAAGAGGATAAACTGTAAGTCTATATTTAGAATCTGCTAATAAAAATACATTGTTGCTCCAAGCAAAAATAGCCTACAGTCTCCTAGTCTCAACCAAAAAGGTAAACTATGAGGCAAGATGGGAAAGCTTTCAAGAAAGAATGAAAAACAGAATGTGTCTTTTTCAGAAACGTGAGGCAAGAGCATCGGCATTTTGGCTGCATGGGAAGAGGCTTACCACTTAGGAACTCAAGAATGACTGACCTAAGAGTAGCCAAGGAAGATGCTGAAGAGGTACAGGAGAAAGATCCTACCCATGTAGTTTTGGAAAATATTCCCCAGTCAGATTAGTAGAAATAAATGGTTTTATGATCGGTTATGATCCTAATTGCTAACCACTTCCTGCCTTATCAGAAGCTATAGCCTTTGGTCTGCTCTCAAGATGATGCAACTTGGTCCTGATAACAGCAGGAGGAGTTAAAAGAAGTTCATGGAGCAGCTGCACACGGCAGGGGAGTCTGACCTTGCTTCTCTCTCAGGCCCAGCTAAACAGACTTTCTGGGCCAATTTCCTTTGGGACATAAGACACTATGAAAGCAAAATGGTCTTTAGTTGCAAACTTGATCCGTAAATGCAGAAGGAGAGGGATGGTACCTTCAGGGGTTACAGCTCAGTGGGACAGGCTTTTTCTAAACAAGCAACCAGGGCCTGGCACCTGCAATAGTGATGAGGCATCAGCCAACTGGGTGAGACCTAGCCCTCATCCTCAGGAAACAAAGCACCCGGGACAGAAAGGGACACACAGAGAAACTGCTACCACACAGGGTCACTCACTGAAGTGACTAGAGCCTAGGGCTAATGGGTTCACGGCAAAGGGAAGTTTCTCTGATGCTGGCTCCCAGACCATATTCAAAAAAGTGTTGGGAAGGGATCAACTTTGCGCCAGGTCTTGAAGGACGCGCTGCCGTGCAGATAAGGGTGAGGGGCATCTACACCGAGAAAACTGTATGAATAAGACGGGCCGATACTGGGCATATTTGGGGAACACATTTGGCTCGAGGAGAAGGAAGGACTGGGGGGAATGTCAGGGTGATGCAGGGGCAGTCATAGAAGGTGCTTCTGCAGATGACTGGCGGGGCTCTGTGTTAGGAAACTGGTCTGACAGTGGTGGACAGATGGGCAGGGGTGGGCGGAGAAGCAGCTGGTGGATGGGAAGAGGCTCCAGCAATGGTGCCTGTGAGGGTCCCAGCTGGCAGTGGACCCTGATCCGGGGCTGGCAGCAGAGATGGAGAGCATGGAGGAGAGAAATATCCCAAGGAAGGGTTCATGGGTTTTGGCAGCTGACCTCACAGGGGAATGATGCCACCTGCTATTTACAGACCACGTACCAAAACTCACCTCGCATGTGATTTTGCATTTGGTTTTCCCTGCAACCCCTGGTTTTCCCCTGGTAGGAGGCAGGAGTTTCGCAGATGAGGGGACTGAGGCCCACGGAGGTTGGACACCAGCCCAGAGTCACAGGACAGGGGAGGGACAGGGCTGGGTCTAGCGCTAGACCCGTTAGCCTAAAATCCAATGAACATCTTGACTTCCATTTCCTTCTACCCACCTGTTACTCTGCTTTCTTAGAATAAAAAACTTAATTTAACTTGCTCCCATCTCCTCATCTGTAAAGAGACCAGGGTCATCTGGAGGCCCGAGACAGAGGTGGTGGCATTTGGATTGGGAGCTCTTGGGGTTACTTTCATATTTCTGAGCACCTGAACCAGGTTTATTGCTGTCACTAGTTCAAAGCATTACCTTTCCATCTCCAGAAGAGGACCCGTGGACAGAACGCTGCCCTTCCCACCCCCAGGCTGGCTCTGCCCAGCACACTCCCCGCTTACCTCATGGCCGCCGTCACCCCAATGGGAGTGATGGGCAGCGGCCGCACGCCAGGAAACAGGCCTCGGCTCAGGACTCGCGCCCCGTTTTGGATCACTCCTGGAGGAACTGAAAAAGCAAAAGGGAGAGAGACAGCACCTGTGAATTCAACTGTGAAGACTTCCATTCTAAGTCAGAAATTCTGGATAGACCAATGAGAAAGAGAGAGAGAGACAGAGAGAGAAAGAGAGAGAGAGAGAGAGAGACAAGAGAGCAGAGAACATGCGCGGAGCAGAGACAGAGAGAAACACACATATGTGTGTGCACACACACAGAGACACAAATGTGTGCACACATGCACAGACACGCACACAAAGATACACACAAAGATACATGTGCACACACACAGACATGAACACACACACAGTCACAGGTGCACACACACACACACACGTGGGCATGCCCGCACATACAGGCATACATACACAAGTACACACAGACACAGTCACACACAGACACCTACACAGACACACCTGCACACACACACATGAGGAAAGAGAGACAGAAAGATACACAGAGAGTAAGACAGACAGACAGATAATCTGGTAAGTAAAAATCAGACTAGTAGTTCACAACCAAAGGATTGATCCCTAGGTTGAAAAAAAAAAAAAGTCTTCAAAAGTAGGCTTCAGACACTGTTTTCTCACATTTATTAAACATAACGTTTTACCTTGCGTCAGACCCTAGCAACATCTCAAAAACCCCAGCACTGTAGGACAGACACCAGGTCACCAAACAAAAGCATCTCCCCACGCTTCTCCACATAGTCAGAAGCTGAGAACACCTTCCCATTTGTCCTTAATCCAACAAAGGGAAAATATGACCAAGCTGTCTCTTATAAAAGCCAATCTTACAAGCTACTTCAGCACCCACCACACAGTTCATCCCCAAGGGGATTTTCGTGGCCTGAGAAAAGGCCCCTCCCCGGGGTATCCCTCTCAAGCAAATCTCCTGAAAAATCTCTCCTCATTCCACCTTCTCCTAAACACACACATCCCTCAAGCAACTCTAAGCCCCTGCTTTCACCAGAGACTATGAGATCTTGTCCATTCTCCATACAAACTCCAAGGATCTCGACACCAATCTAACTTTGTCTGAGGGTTACCTAAGAGGAGAGCTGCAGGGAATCCCTGATGTCACCTTTTCTGACCTCCCAAACAGCAGTTTCATTGGGTTCAAGCTACTATTCTGTCTTCTGCTACATCTACCAAAAATCCTCCCTGCATCTGAGGGTCCAGGGGAGCATCACAGAACACGGGTGAGCTTTAATCTGAGTTCTCCTTGCATGACTCTGTGCAGGTCTCTGGATCTCTGTTTCCCTCTCTGAACGCTGTTCTCCCAAGACCCTGTCTGCCATCATGGGTTCAAGGCTCCTCAGAGCCCTGGCTGTGCCCATGTATTCCTTGGCACAGTCTCAGATAGCAGCAAGGTGGATAAATAGTGCTTTTTCAAACAAAGACCACTGAAAAGCCTCTAGAAAAGTATGCATTCAAAAATGAAAACCACTTTGGACATTAGGTGTGAAAGCCAGTATTATATAGGTAGAGTAAATGCTTTTCATAAAACACATTGTCATACATACTTTTTACTTACATAATTTTTAGGTGTCTAAGAACATGTTTTCAAATCTTTAATCAAACATCACGTAGGACGAACGTCCACTCTTGAATATGGGGTAATTTTACAGACTGCCAATTCCTTGGGCATTCTGCACCTCTTGCTAATAATTTTTGCCATTTATTTTCCCGCTTTGTGTAAGGCCTTTGTTTCTAGGTCTTACAAAAGGTGGGATGTGTGACAGAATGGAAACTCTCGTCTAAGTCGGTTCTACGATTACTGTCCAGTGTTCCATAATCTCCCCCGTTACTTACCCTAATTAATTGTGAGAGCAGGCAGACCCAGATCAGTAACTCCTGCCATTCCTGATGATTGGCCTGATTTCTACTAACAGACCACCTTATCTGAGGCAGTGTCTTAAAATCATGGAACTGTTATGATGTGGTATGCAGTGAATTATCATGTCTTACGCAGCTGATGAATTCTCTATAAGGAATAATGTCTACAGTTGATATTACCTAATTTATCTTATCTGATTTCAAGACTTCCTATAAAGTTACAGGAATCAAGACACTGCGGTACTGGCGTTAAGTCTAGACACATAGACCAATGGAACAGAGCAGAATTCGGAAATAGACTCACACACATGTGGCCAACTGATTTCTGACAAGGTTACCAAGACAGTGCAAAGAGGGAGAAACGAGTGTTAGAACAACCAGAGATCCATTTGGGGGAAAAAATGAACCTTGAGCCTTACACCTCATGCCACGTATAAAAATTAGAAATGGATCATAAACCTCAAAGTAGGAACTAAAATTATAAAACTTCCAGAAGAAAGCACAGGTGGAAAAATAGCAGTAATTCTCAAGGACAGACATGACAGCAAAACACTTGTAGAAAGATGCTTTGGATGAAATGTATGCATGTTGCTTAAAACAATAGGCTTTTTTTTTTTTTTTTTGCCTGTTTTGGGGATTGTGGGAGAGGGTTTCCATGATTTCAGTGTATGGCAGTCTCCTAGAAATGGTCAGACAGCCAGAGGTTAAGCAGAATTCTGATCTAACATATCTGTCACTAAGGATCTCAAGTAGAGCAGCAACTTAGTCTGATATAATGAACCAGGCTGATAAATAAATAGTTAAAATCTCAAATACAGTTGTCATTCCTGTCAGTAAAAATTATTACAGTCCCATATACAGACACAAAAACGTTTACCAAGTACTTTTCTATGTATTAGATGATGGGGATATAAGGTAACTACTGGCAAGAGGGAAGGGGAGAGAGAGAGAGAAAGAGAGCAAGACAGACAGAGGGCGAGCGAGAAAGAGAGCAGGCAGTGAAAACACTATGGTAAGTGCTAGGACAGGGGGCCTAGGAAGGTATTTTTCCCCCCCGAGACAGAGTGTTGCTCTGTAGCCCACACTGGAGTACAGTGGCATGAACCCGGCCTCCACCTCCCTGTTCCCAGTTCAAGCAATTCTCCTGCCTCAGCCTCCCGAGTAGCTGGGATTATAGGTGTGTGCCATCATGCCCAGCCGGGATTTTTTAACAATGCACAATGTGCTCAAGGAACTAAAAGCTTGCTTTGCTACAGCATATAATCCTAGCAGAAATGAGATGTGTTTGGGCTTTATCCCATGGGTATTGGGAAAGCCATTAAGGGGCTTTGAGCAGAGAAGTGCCCTGCGCTGCAGCAGCTGACAGCCAGGCTCTGGAAACCAGTCCAGGTCTATATCCCATCTCTGTCAATTACTGACCATGTCCCCTGAGCAAGCTACTTAAACTCCATAAGTAAGATGGGGAACAAAAATGATATTTACCCAGGGTCTCTGGAGGCTTCACTGAGTTAATGAAGGCACAAGTATTTGGAAAATGCATGTTAGTTATCAATATTGTCATCATTGACGTGACCAACATCCACAGAGGAATCCTGAGGCGGCCCAGCCCATGCTTTCTCCATTTCAGATGAGCTTAAACCCGTAAGAAACAGAATGAGACAGAAGCCAGACCAGGCTGGAAGAACGTAGCCATCTTCCTGGTGACAGAGCTGCTGGAAGAGCAACAGTGGCTGCTATGGCGCGTCTGTTCCCTTTGTGCGTAGCATATCGTATCAGAGCCACCCTTGCAGCAAAAACACCCAAGACACTTAAAGTTGGACAAAGATGAGGGAAGCCCTGGAATGGGAACAGAGCAAATGCAAGTTATGGAGCCCATGTTCTTCTTAACCCTGGCACGGCCGTCAAGTTATCTGCCAATCAAGGAAGAAATGCAGTTTTGGGGACAGTGTGGCATGACGGAGTCCTCTGCCCAAATGCTCAGAACCTGTAAGAACCAGGGGTATGCCCAGCATAGAGGAATACTAGGAAAGGGAGCCAGTCCTCACCAAGTTCCTACTGGAGACCATGTGCTTTGGATGCTCCTTGTCTTACAGAAGCCTCGGGAAAGAGGTATATTGCTGCGGTTAAGAGTGCGAGCTCTGAGCAACACAGCTTCAGTCCAGCCTTGCCTGGTCACTGGCTCTGTGGCCTTGGCCTAGTGCCTTCACCTTGCTGTGGCTCCATTTCCTCACTGGTGAAGCAGGCTTAAACATACCTTGTAAGATTGCTTTGAGGATGAAATAAGATAAGCTACGTCAATTGCTTAGCTCAGTGGCTGACCTGTTATGTAAGCTCATCATCATCTTCGTCATCTTCATCCTTCCGCCGCCCCACGTCACCTCTCCGGCATCCTCTTACTAATAATCTACAAGGCACAGGGCTGAATGGGGTCAGGACATGGGGAAATACTTTCAGCCCATTATGCTTTTTGTAGTTATTCCTAACTCTGCATTTACCTATTAAAACGTCTTCCTTATTAATGAACTGTGTTCACTTCAAAGAATGTGATGGACAAAGCTATCTTGCAGCATTAACAGGCTTTCCCTGAGCTATTTCCTGAACCTCACAAGACTTCTGGCACGTAGACTCAGCTCTACCTCTGAATCCTGCAGCTCCTTCTCAAATGGGCCGCAACTAAATGTTGCCTCTGCCAACCCTGGCACCTCTCCATCCTCATCATTGGCAGTGTTCTCCATGGAGAGATGGCGGATGTGTTCGTATTTGCTCACCAGCTGCCAGAAGCCAGCTGTGACACTTAACTGTACCCCTGTCTTTTCTCCTCTCAGTCCCCATTCTCAAGGGTCAGGAACGTGGCTTCTGAAGAACAAGTCACAGCCAGTCCAAAACGGCTGTGTTGGAGAAAGGCATTCTGAGGTCCCCAGGTCACTACTCTACATTAGGAAGCTTGGTGGGAACGCGAGTCCATTCTTCAGCCCTTTCTCTACCAGGACATCTACTCCTTGCCTTCCTTTAACTCTCTGTTTCCCTCAAAGCATATCAAGACACAGAAAGACCGAAATATTTGCAGCCAATCTGCCGCACCTGATGTACTGAAATGCACTGGCCTCCAGCTGCGTAAGACATCCAAAGGGCTGGACGTTCAAAGTCAACTTCTCCCTTGGATTTGTGGCTCTC